ACACACACACACACACACACACACACAAACACACACGTATTATGATATTTTTATTGTAAGGGCTCTGATTGAATTTAAAATGATGTCATTAACACTCTTTTCACTCAAATGATGATTTTTGGTGCTTTAACATGCTAACTGCAAATTTGTTACCGATTTTTACACTGAAATTTGCAATTAATGGAATTCCTCTCAATTTGCCCCTTGTTTGTCCACCTTCGCGATCTCCCAGTGACCATCTCGTGGACCCCAGGTCGAGAACCACTGCTGTATAGGGGTACGGGGGGATTTTGAAGTAGTTTTTATATTCGACTCAGTGCATGGCTGAAATTCTTCTCAATTCATCCCGTATTTGTCTGCCTTCGCGTCCTGTCAGTGTCTCTCTCGTGGACTTCAGGTTAAGAATCACTGCTGTAGGGAAGTTTTTTTAAGTATTTTTTGAATTAGTCTTAATGTATAGCTGTCGAAAGTGTATTTTATTCTCTTCTGGGCTCACCGCTTCCATAAAAAACAGTAGAGGATAACAGAGGATACATTGTTAACTCAGCAATTTAAGCAGCTATCAGTGGAAAGTTCGAAAAAAGCAGCAAATTCCGTTGTTGAAGTAGTTTTAGTGAAAAATTGCATTGCTTGAATATCTGTACACAAATGCATTTTCGCATACACATCAAAAAATTTGTTTTTTTCTCAACTTTCTGCTTTTTTTTAATGAATACTGCAATGTAGGATGAGAATTATTGCCCGATGGATATACTGTTTTGTGAGACTGTTCAAGTGCCGCCGACGAAATATCGACCAATTCGAATTTTCAAAGGCGACAAATTTGAAAATCCACAAAGTGTTAATCTCCGAAAAGTACTGGAAGCTTCGGAAACAATTCGTGCAATTCGCCTAGCACTCACCGGAAATAACGATAAATCACTCCTTGTAAGTTTAGTGAAACAAAAAATACTCTTTTTTTTAAATGGAAAAGGTTTTTTTAGTCTTATCTTAACATTTTTTTTAAT